TGCAAGTAATCCGTTGGGAATTGGGTTTCGCCCATACGTCATGGACTCATGGGTGAGATACGTGTACGGTTGGGAACGGGTGATGGTTGTTCAGCTCGGGCGTCACACCGACTGGCGGTGGTAAGTCACCACTGCCAGACGATTTGAAGCTCGAGCAAAAAAACTACCATGCCACGAAATGTGGCTCTCTTTAGCTCCATCTCCTCAAGATATTGTTATAAATTTTGATAAACGTGATCCACACATACGAATAACAATATAATCCACCACAAAATTAAAACAGAATGTAAAAAGTAATACTGACATATATAATATACTTCTATACATACGTGAATAATATAGCAGACCATCGGTTTCTTCCGGAAAAATTGTTTATCAAATAAACGTCAAGCAAACTTTAATAAGTACTTAGTACGAACTGAGTACCAAAGCAAAACATAAAAACTTAATTTATAATTTATAAGCATAATTTAAAATAACACAGTTTATAATAAAAACATTTCTTCAGTGCTATCCTGTTCGGGGATTATAACATAAATTATAGCAGACAGACAACAGACAAGGCGTATAACAGAAAAAGGGCGCATGGCAACGATAATGTCTGCAAGGACGGAACGCAGCCTGACAGCCGCTTCATCCTGGCCGCAGCTGCGACACATGTAGATGCAGCAGCACTTATGCAGAAATATCATACTTCCTCCTATCTAAAGCAGTCTGTGTTACGCCGTTGTTGTATAACGAACTACGCATACCGCACGAAGCCAACAAATCCGGGCTTTGCGTGTTTACTTACTTGTATGACATTACGGCCGTACAACATACAACTTCTCGGTAACCCGTCCGCTCAAGCGAGTTAAACTCGCCAATGCCGTACATGGACTGGAATACTTGGGCAGGCTTATTGGGATATTGTTTTATTGACTGTACAAAATGCAACGCAGATCTGCCTCTGCCGGGCGTCTACGGTTTAAGGTGCTGCGCCAATCAATACGTAGTGTATACGTAATTTACCGCGGTTGGTGGCTTCCCCCGCAATAAGAGATGTACCCGTTATAAACGCCCTTCCTCAATCATGTTTGAAAAATAAAGCAATCCTGTTTGAAAAATAAAGCCCCACCCCCCCCCCCGAAATTACAATTACTGCCCAGGTGACGTCAGTAGGTGTAAATGTGTGAACAGTGCTAGCTGTACAGTCTGTACTTGTGTAAGCTGTACTCGTGCAAGCTGTAGCGTAGTGCACGAGCACACATGGTTACAGCTGTCATTGGTTTACGGCAACAACATCGTGTCGGTCCGTTGTAAAGCCGTCACCACGATTTTTATAAGAATTTTATCGGGAGATTAATGGCATCTGCAGCAAGTTCATTTTCCAGCCGACGAATTCAGTTGATTTCTACCAGTTTGTTTATTTTCAATGTCTCATCCCCCGCTCAGGTTTATTATCCTGTCGCTTTCATCTGGTGCGACATACAACTGAATTTCTGTTTTCCGAAAAATTCCTATTTTCCTGTTCCTGGTAAACTAAAAGGCCCCAAGGTTCTTGCGAATTTCTACAGCATTTGTGGAGTTCAGTAGACCTGATAGTTATCCTTTCTATATTTTACTTGCACTATTTCATCATTTCTATATTTTGGACGACGACAGTAGGATAGGATAATTATTATCTGTTACGTAATTTCTGCGAGGTTATCTCCGTTTGTAGGCGCTGAATCGGCAGGCATACCAGATGGCCGTCATCTGGTCGCACGCCGATTACGAGCTTGCTGCGGGAACGCGTTCCTCACGGTTTGGTTGCTATGTATCGTTCATTTGGCATGCATCTTCCTCCGGACCCATCCATCTTTTTCGGTTTAAAGTTTTACTAAAGCTAATTGGTAATGTTCCTGAACAGGATTCCAATGTACTTTACAGTACATTGGCATGCTAATTAGGAGCATTAACATCAAGGACGCTTTTCTTGTGCAAAAACAGGTACTGGAGTTCGGGCTGTTAATCAGTGCATACCAGTGGGATCATTTTCGGTACATACATTTGCTTCGTCGCCGGATGGGATGAAATTGCAGCTTAATAGCACAGAATCGGGTTTACTACAGGAATGGCAGCCGCTTCCACTTCGACTCTGGCTTGAATTATTGCTCTAGTGGCGTAGTATTCGGGCCTCGGCTGATTACTGTAGTAGCTGGAGTCGGGAGTTGATCGATAGTTGGCCGATTGTTAATGTGTCGCGGTACGAACTTCCGCACACCGGCAGAACATCGTTACCGACTCGTGTAAACATCCATTTCTCTAGAATGGTATTGCTACCATCGCACAAATTAGTTGGAGTCGAAAATAAACGATTCTGAAGGATACTTTGATTCAGGTATTCTGCAGTTAATTTGCCGGCAGCGGGGTCATTCTGTGCAAGACAGGCAACGCCACCGATTCATACCGATTTCCTTTTGTCAATATCTGTATCGAGCTGACACAACCGTTTGCATCTCAAGACATCTCAGAACTTGAGACGCCAACGGCTTTGCCAGCTTTCCCTAGGCGGACTCTTTTCGCATTGGAACCACTGGACGTTGATGGCGGTCTGTGCGCATGGAGAAAATCGTCGGAGTATCATTATAGATAGACACGATTTGCTGCTGTATTAGGCGCAGTTTTGGCGACAATCTTTGGCTTGTTTAATACAGTTACTTTTAAATTGTCAAGAATTGCCGCCAAGTAACGAGCCAACCAAACAGAATTAGGCGCTAAAAGAAAAAAAAAGAATGAATATGAGAATATGAAAGAAGGAACATGCTGTGCTGAAAGCTTAAAGTGCTTTACTTCCAAATTCCAATAATTGCTTTCCAGCCCACACTATACAGTAGTATTATGTAACGGTTACACGGACACGTGAAACATATGCTGCTACCTCGGCTGCAGCTGGTGATGAATCTGGCAAATTGCAATATTATCCCGATGCGGTTATCTCCTGCTTATTAGGACCGGCATACAACGTTCTCGTACGCCGACCGGAATTAACAGGAGGAAACCGAATGCAGTCGTCGCGTCCATGGATGACTCATACAGTACACTCAGAAATTAAAACAGCCGAAATTTTATTTGCCCCACGTGTAGCGCCCCATACAAAGGATGTTCCCTGCCAAACAGAGAACATCATTGTGCCCACAGGGTTTTTTCTGGCTTCGTGATAAGTCGTCGCCAGTTCCAGCTGACGTGAAGAACCAGTACTTCTGCAGACATTTTTCGTAATACTTCTTGTTTCCCTCCATACTCATTGTCCCTTTATTGACTTATTGCAAGAAAGCCAGTGACGGCCACAAAAACATTTCCCGAAAAACCGTTACCGCACCCACGTTTCCGGAAACATTTAAGCATTAAGAAAAAAAATAACCTTTAATAAGTATCATGGTACGAGTACAAACTATGCACCAGAACAAAACGGCGTTTGCAAAAGAAACACTTCCTCTATGCTGTCCTGATCGGGGGATCGTACCCATTACACAAATCGCGTTTCCCCGTTGGATTTGCATAGATATTCGCTGTTTAAAAAACTCTTTCGCCCGCTTTTGGCCGGTTGAAGTCGCTATACCATTTAAACGCATTAAGAAAACGTATTTCATTTCCTTTTGATTCATAAACCAGAAACAATATTTAAACCGCAATAAAATCCATAAACATTTGATGAAATTTTAGACTGTAGACTGATTTTTTAATTTTAGAAGTATTTATTTAAAAATTTTAAAGTATGTCATGAAATCGGTTTCGTTTCCAAAATGTTTTCATAAGCATGTGGTTTTACAGAATAGCTTTAAGAAATTACAGTTAGCGCTTGCAACTGGATAAACAATGCGCTTTCTGACAATTTTGATTTGCCATTTCTCAGTAATCAGATATTACGCAGCGGTGTTGCGAGGCCGATGCATATCCTAATGTTCCAGCAAGCAGAAAGAAGCATGGCTCATGCGTGGGTCCCGGGGAACACAAGGTAGTGCGTACGTTATCCTCAAGCTGTAATTTAAAGGGACCCAAGGCATGGATTTTTGCGGAATTCCTTTGCGGTAATGCGGCGCAGCCGCTGGACATTGACATACGTCAATTTTGTCGGTCTATAGGAAAGAGCCATGACCACCGGAAAGTTGAATTAAGATGGCGAACGGAATGCAGAGCGTATTACTAGAGTAATATATCTACTTCTCTGTATGCAATATCAATTTGGCGGAATAAAATGTCTTTATACAGACGGCCATCCTTATATATGTCTGCATATGCATTTGATAAAATGTTGTCGAGCGTACTTAACAAAATGTGCTGACTGAGGACAGATGTAGTGGATGCGATGCGTCCAGGCGCCTCGAAAGCGGAAGCGCACTAAGCCCCGCAGACACCCGGCTCGGAGCGATAAAACTGAGCAGTAACCAGGAAACAAGTCCATAAACGTGCCAACAGGTAACATACCCGCCCATCCATAAATAACGCAAGGTCAAAGTATGTGCTTATGCAGACTTGAATGAACGAGAAAAATAACGACGAAACAAATTAGACAAAGTAATTCAATTAGACACCTTTATTTTGTTTCAGTTTCTTTTTCATAATTGATGCGGGCTTTATCTGAATTTGCATGTCAGTATTTCGTTTCATACGGAAACTTAATAGGAAATTAACAATTTCTAATTAACAAGAGCCCAGTTTTGTATCGTATTCGTATCGCCCTTTCACGTCATATTTCCAGGCTTATTCAAAACGTACGTACGAGTATACATTTGAACGCTTTATTGAATTGCAAAAAGATTAACTTTCCTTAGGCAGTATTTTGTGTTTACTATAATAACAGACAGCACAAGCGCAGCCATACCATCTACTTCATAGTAAAAATTAAAACATTACAAAAAAAATCACATTCAACAAAAATAACAATGCGCAGGAAGACAACAACTGCGACAACTACAGAATAATTATGCAATCCGTCGAAAAACCGTTGAATTCCCGCTAAAATGGAAACAGCGAGTCTTAACAAGATACTGAAAACACGCTGAGCCAGTACTCGTTCACATGTCCATTACTAATTCATGCAGAGATCCAGCCTTTTCCCGACGGAAGTGCCAGTTGCATGAGAATGCACAGCGTAATGCGCGACAGCAGCGCCAGTTGTACATCTTCCAGGCCGTCGAGACACCACCGCTTGCCGCGATAATGCGACGACGGGCGCGGATCGCTGGACTGCACAGCGCACAACACCTACCCGCAGAGACATCGGTCACCTACTGAACGCGAAAATCTACACAAGACGAAAGAAAAATGAAGAAACTAAGCGAAGCACCCATCGTACTGCGCTGCGCCTTAAATACCAACTTTCCTTGGACTCTCGAAACTCGCCCGACCAAAACACTGATCACCCAAATTTCTTCAAAGTACAGAACATTTAAAATGAATGGATCTATCTCCATGGATTGGATTGTTCTTGTGAAATGCCACAATTACAATACGAGTACGTCATTTGGAGAGGCTTATCTCGAACAGAAACAGGATCTCTGATCAAAACCTCTGGATAAGGGCCTGTGGTCAATGTTTCGATAGTATATTGCGATTTTTCTTATATTTCGGCCACTTTTAAGTACACGGTTTCGTATTTCGGTCACCGGTCAACGTTCAACGCCCTCAATTTGGCGCGCCACATGTACAGCTGCTGATCGCAACGTGCTCCTGCATTGGGTTATTACTGGTCTGTAGTCATAAAAACAAAATTGAAAATGTTCCAATTCCAAACTTTCTGAAATTTGTAAGCGTAGAAGAGCGATTCCTTTACATTGCATCCGAACTCTGGTGCACTTCCGGTTCGTCGATTGGCCTTTTTTATGGAAATTTTTCACAGTATCTGTTTGAAAAATCACGAGCGAAGTTTTTGCTATGAAAACTATTCATTTCTGGTATTTTTGTCCGTAAGGAAATTTTGACAAAAGGTGACCAACTTATGAAAGCGTATCCTTGAAGTGACTGAAACATGAAAAAAACGAAGTCTTCAGAGTGATCGGTCTTTGGAGCACACTGAAGCCTTTCGGTTAGCCAAACACTGTACCTTGCAACCGGCAATTTTCTCCGGATGATCATCACCCAGACCGAGCACCCAATCGCGCCACTGAGCCAACTCCTGCAGCGCCGCGTCGCCCGGCACCGGCAATGCCGCTTCCACTGCCGTCCACAGCGCGGCCCCGAAGTCCCCGCTCAGCGGCAGACATATTTCGGGCAGCTCCACCGACACCACCGGCCCGCGTCGCCGTCCGTGCTGGGTCTTCAACGGACACATCCACTTCATCGTACAGTCCACCAGGCGCAGCGTGCCACCGGGCACCCGCCGGCCGATCCGTATGAAATCCTCCAGACGGCCGTATCCGCGCAGCGGAACATACAGCCGCCGATAATCAGCGTACGTGTCATGCAGCACACACGGCGTATTATCCAGGCTGTTATTGGTGCCAGTAATAAATAAGTTGAGCTGCACGCCCACTAAATACAGCGTTGTTAAACGCAATCCGGTTCGTTGGGACGCTAGCGAATACATTATATCCGGGATTTTCAGGAGATCGTCTGTTCTGATCTTGTGCTCCCGGTCGATCAGATAAACACGCTGTACCCCGGGGCGGAGATGTTTGTAGAGGAGAGCCGATGGGAGAAAGGGACAGGGTGTGTCGGAATGTTGGTTGCAATGGGTATCGTGTCTAATGATGATACTGGTCGTCAGTGCTGGTGAGTCTAAGATCATGTTCCACGTAACGCAGACGCTCCGAATTCTCGTCTGCGTTATCGTGTCGGATTGGGCGAACACTTCCCGCCACAATTCCGTCGGCAGTCCGCTGAAATCATCCACGGCCTCTTTGGCGTGCATCCATTCGTCGTGAAAGCGCTGCAGGCTAACCTGGGAACCAAACAGCAAATACCTAAGAGCCCATCTCAAAAATCGGGTAAACACATTTAGCATGTTCTCGTACCATAGATAAATCGCAAGCCTAATGTCATTAGAAGAAGTAGCCCAGTACACCGAATTCGTGCGCATGCACGAATCTCGCACCCAAATCACTTTTTTTTGCATTGGGTTATTTGGCTGTGGAGCCAAGTGATTTGGATACATTGGCGTGAAAACCGATTTGGCGCGCAACATCCGCTTGGGGAAATATAGCTATCAGAAAATTAAAAAAAGGCCACACGTATTTAGGTGTACCAGAAGTGTTATTAGACTGTAAAGAGAGAAGTGGCTCATGCTCCTGAGAAGACTGATCTCGTTCGAGTTTTGCACGCGAAAACGCCCATCAGCTTGAAGATCGTTTTCATACAGAACCAGATTTCCGTTATGTTTTGGAAATTTTAAAATTAATTCGAGAAACTTTGAAATATTTTTAAATTTGAGAAACATGATACAAAATTCGGTTCTGTGTAAAAAGGAGCTTGAACTTATTGTGCGTGTCTACGCGAAGTTTGAAGATGGGCCTATAAACAGACGCTTGGCACATCTCCGTGCGTTTGGACCTTTGCAGTTTTCTTTCAAAGGTTACTGCCCAACAGGAAGTTCCGCGCACAAACGGTTTTCACGCCAATATGTACAAATCATTTGGCTGCTGAACGATGCCGTAAAAGACGGCAAAAAGGTGTTTAGGAATGCGCGAAGGTGAAAGTTTTCGTGCATGTACACCAGTTTGCTAGACTACGTTTCCTTAAACGATGCCGGATGTTACCGTCAGTGTTGAGCCGATGTTGCTGAAGTACATAATACCCGATTTGTAGATGCAGTCCACCCGGTCAGCCACAAGGTCTACCAAGCAGACCTCCGTCCACGGGTGGTAGGGACGACGGTTATTCCACAACCGGATTAACGTAGCTGCATGTTCCGCGGACAGGGAGCGAAACTCCCGCCCCAAATGTGTATAGTGATGGTAGAACGTGTTAGAACGCGTCCGCACGTGCAGTTCTGCGTAGTTGACGGCGGGCGTTGCAGCACGCTTTTCCCACTCCTCCTGCACCATCCTCTCAAGTTCACTCGCATACGGGAGATCCCCGCGCCACATATCGAGCAGGGGACACCGGATTCGCTCGATTGGGAGGATATCCGTGCAGGGTACCCCCGTAACCGTATCTGGCCAATGGACGACGGCCGCTTCGCACCACGCGTAGCGCACGCCGCGTTGCTGACACGGCATTTCTCCGGGGACCCACATCCACGGACCGGACGGGGTCTCCGGAACCAGGACGACCACGGGAATGCGCGGCACGGGTGCGGTGTAAAGTCTGGCCAGGAAGTCACCGGAGAGAAGGCGTGGCAGGAAGCAGTTGTCGAAGGTGTAGAATTCGCGGTGACGGTTGGGACACAGCAGGTCGACGAAGAGCCCGTCTTTGGTCAGGGCTACCACGCGGCCGTAGCGCAGGCGGCCGTCGCGGCCTAGAACATGAACGCTGTTTTGTCGCTGGAATCCGCCACACATGGTTTTGCGCTGCGATTGGACGTGGAACTTGGAAGGAACTGAAATAAATAATGTATATATTGAACTATTAAAACAGTTTGCCTAAGGCTAACTATCTGTAGCTTCTGTATAGATCGGTGATTAATTTCTGGATAATAATGGCTAAATAATGATTTTGAATACGGCCTAGCGCTGAAATCCTTAAAGAAACCTAATGCTCCACTAAGATTTAAAATTTCTCGCCTATTCTGACTCAATGAGTCTTTCACCGAGCACAACTTGCATTCTGAGACTCAATGTGGACCGCTCAAAAGCTCTGTTTATGTTAAACGAAGCTCGGGAAGAAGTCTCGAAAAAGCTTGAAATAGTCACGACTCACAAGCACTGATGGGATAAGTTTACAAACTGTATTGCCCATGCATAACAGTCTTCCGTGTTACGTGGTAATTTAGAGCTACGACACTGAAGAAGCTCCAGAATGGAACTTCCATTAGCAAAGCAGTTAAGCAATTCCTTTCAAGAGTTCGCTGCAATCACAGTGCAGTGTAACAGATCTGTAGACCAAAGTTCTTTAATGCTCACGGTTTAGGATATAATCAGGATACAGTTGAGGATATAATCAGGATCAGCACATCACCCAGAAATTCCTCCAAGATTCCAAGTCAAGTTGCAATGATCAGCGATGTTATCCAACAGCACAATATGCAAGCCTTCCAACATCCGCAGTGGGCTTACATCAGCGATAAAAAGGGTTATGGCGAATCTGGAATGAAAGCCATGTTTTCTATAGTAAAGTGAAGTGAAACTGCTCTGATAAAACTATTCATGGAGCTCGAAAGGTGCGTGCAGACTGCAGAGTATAGGGAACTGGGAATAACCGCCTCTCTAGGCGGTAGGTTATCGCTTCTTTATAATCACTACTGTGAGGAGGAGTGGCCTCCCGTACACCCGCATGTCGGGTAGCGGTTAGGTTATTTTGCTGTTTTTTGCTAGTAATTTTCTCCATCTACCAGATCGAAGATCTGGTAGATTCTTCCGTTGTTAGATTCTGTCATCCGAGCTGCTTGCTGTCCTTTTTGACCCCGCAGCAGCATTCTGCTGCGGGAGCTTCTGTAGAGTGGGATATAAAGTGTGCAGGTGTTTGCCGAGTGTTTTGCCTTTTCGCATAGCTCGCAGTATACAACACTGCTCACTCAGCAGGATAGATTCCGTTTCTGTCTTGCCCGTGGATTCTTCCCAGATCCAACGTCATTCTACCGTTGACAGGTGTCGAAAGACCATCATGTAGAGGAAATTAGTCAAACTACACTGAAAGAGGGCGACGGAGCTGTTATCAAAAAATCTCTTTAGCTGGTGCCTGGCACTGGCAGCCGGTTTAGAAGGGGATGAAGATTGCACCGAATACCGATTCAGATCGACGCGTTCCAAGGCAATATGACAGACTGACTTTTGTTACGAACTTTAATCATAAATTTATAATACTCGTATAAATATGCAAATAGCAGCAGTCAGCAGATAGGCAATCTGACGAATAAGTAGAATTTTGTTTAATTTACTACATAGATGAAAAAATCCAGGCAAACGCTAAACGCAGCCGAATACAACTTGAAAGTAAAACAGGTAATAGTACAACGGGCGAGCGAGGATCTAAAAAAATTGCAAGAGACGTGCCGCACATTGATTCACACAAACCATGGTGAAAGTCGTTGTCCACGCTCATGACCACTGATTACAATGCTCGGGATCGCCAACCCTCCGTCGAAGACAGTTGCATAAGAAAGTGCAGCGTGATGCGCGACAGCTTCTCCAACTGACATCCGTCCAGACCATCGAGGCACCACATCTTCCTGTGATAATGCGAGGCCGGGCGCGGATCACGGGACTGCACGGCGCACAGCACCTGCCAACAAGAGCCGCTAAGTTAATAACCAGCAAATGGCCTGTGTCTGTCCATCGAACATTGTGGAACAGCAGACCTGAAACCCGATCAATCGTGCGACGGTTTACAAATTTATAAACGGAATTTGCAAATCGTGACATTGTATTATGGGCACCAATGGGTCGCTTGCTGGTGCAGTTTCACATTCATCCATTCAGATTAAGAATCATTGAGCATTGAGTAACGGTAGTATTGTACAGCTAGCGCTCCAACCAAATTCACTATATTGACTACAGTAAGTTTACAACAAGAATTAGGAAGGGGACTGTACCTTGCAGGCGGCTACATTCATTTTCGCGGCCTCCTCATCATCCAGGTTGGTCAATATTGTCCACCACTGGCCCAGCTCTTGCAGCTGCGCATCACTCGGGTTCCGGCTGCCTGGGCAATACCGCACATACTGGAACTATATTCTTAATCTGAAGGGTGTTGCCCACTCATTTTTCAATGAAATTCTGCACGCAGCGTAAAATCCCGTTAAGAAGAAGTTCTATCGGGTTCAAGGTCATGGCGGCAAAATTGCTTGTACGCGATACCTGAAGCGCTTTACGCATCTGAGCCCCTGCACCTAATACAGCAAGCAAAATGGGGTCTACTTCACATTCTAACAAAGCAAAAAATGTTTGTATGTCTTGAATGCAAAACACTGCCGCTTATTCACTATAAAATTTTGGAAATCATAAAAAAGTTCTTGTTAAAAATTTAACTTAAAAACAGCGTATACTGGAACAGGAACAAAAATTTGTAGAGAGATTTGCTTTGTCAATTTTAAAATACGCCTCAAATTCTTGCTTTTTCTACCCCATATCCGTTTTATTTTTATATACAGAGTATTCAGTTAGAAAACACTTATTAACAAAACGTCTCCATAAGGTTGTCTGTCACCAATTGATTTTTGTCTAAGCTGATCAAATCTCATAAATATTCGAGCTTTCCTAATTTTGGTTATTGATTTTATAAGTTAAGGTCGTCTAAATGTTCAGTAAACCGCGAAGAACTTTTTGTTGGCATTGGCACTCACTAGTGGTATTTTCAGGAATGCTGCCGCTGGATTGCGCGGCGCACAGTATCTGCCAACGAAACACGTAAATACTGTAGCTTAAAAGTGTAAGGCTGACATCCAATAAGAAATTAAAAGTCAAAAAGCTTCAACTAAATATGTGGTTGGTTTACTCAGCAATAGCCCTGTACATAAATGCCTGTGCTAACGGACACGGATTAAATTTATTTAAATTTTTAACATTGAGCAGCCGAAATCGTTATTCGTGGTCTTAGGACGCCTATTCGGTGTGCCCACTACGTCTGCTGCGGTTTAACGTTAAATGTGCATATTTCTATCATGATTTACACAATTAAAAATTATTATCGATAACGCAAAGCAGCTGCATTCTGCGGGCTGTATTGGTCCGGGGAAATCGTTGCTTGAAATGTCTATAAAGTAATATTTGTGGTCGTGATTGGGGAACAGTACAGGTATAGGCTGGTGTTTGGATCACTAATTTTACATGTAAAACTACTGTAAATTTTGGTAAGTATGTAGTATGTAAGTAACTACGACAGAACGCACAGTAATTTTGAAGACATGTCATGTAGAGATAGAAATCCAGTATATCCTATCACCCTGCTACAATACAGTACAGACTACAGATATATTCTAACATATGCAATGCACAAGCATCGACGCCGTGGACAGATTAATATCGATCGCATTTAGCCACCAATCGATAGCTTACGCCGAGTTCACAGGCTCCAAACTGCACATGAGTGAAGGGAACCACTACAAACTGATGTTCACATCTATTCCGATTAGTGATTATTATATTTTGATGCAACTTGTTTTTTAGGATTTTCCAAGGTGTTATTTGTAGTAAATCGCTAGTTTTGAAAATGGCAAGTCATGGATCACGAGTGTGCAGCGGTAACACACCAGATGAACAACAAAGTGGGCAACCGACTGCGGAACATCGCATGGTGAAGTTGATAGTTACACGTAATACATGGACGTGTGTTATGGTTGCCTTGTCACTCGCATCATTTATGCTTTTAACGACTCTTGTGCGGCTGTTTATAATAATTGGCATTACCGCTTTAAGCGACGACTTCATCATCCGCGACCTAGTAAGATACATGCATTTATATCTACAAATCCCCGATGCAATAGGCTAAGTAGCATGCCGCTAGCACTTGACATTTCTTTGGAGTAAATATTAAATGACATATGCCCGAATAAAACAATATTTTCTGTGGATTAGGATTATTTTCTTGTTTGCAAATATGTTAAACTTACAACAAATCATAGTACAACAGTATCATGACTTATGGTAGGGATTTCAAAAGATAAACAACCAGGTACCTCATTAGCGAAAGGATGGAGGGCCCTCTTGCAAAAGGCCTTAATAGTGCTATCATATAAATTTATTTAACAAATAGAATGATTTTTTATTTATTATTATTGTTTTTATTTAGCAATTAACTCAAGCTCGAACTATTATTTTTAGCCGGAGACGTCTCAAAAGAAAGTGCAGATCGTGCTGATAATTGCAGTAATGTCCTTTGAAGTGGTTTATTTTTTATACCCTGTTGGCGCTCAGATCCAGATAACGCGGATCTATCTACATTTGCAAAACTATCGCCAAAATGCGGCTGTACTACCCAATATGCGCAATTTTACGACAGCAACCGGTTACTGGTGGAGAAGTTGTCGCCGTATGCACGCCGAAGTTTGCATGGGAAAATATGTGCCGATTTTTAACATAGTAATCGTCACTTGTTTCGTTATTACTGGGTTTATTTCGGAGAACGAAAACAGTGGAAGTTATCTTAAGGCCCATAAAAGAATTTGTTTACCGCTGGCGATAATGGAATTGATGAATTTCGCCGTTGCCTGGTTCTGCAAACGGGAAGTGGAAGACCTAGAATCCGCTATTCTGCAAGCGTGGCATCATCAAAAGAGGAAGTATTTTATGCCATGCACTGTCGAGAACAAGAAAATCATGGCTCAGCTGCTTTCGTCAATTTTAAGCTCACATCCAACAACCCAAAGATAGGTTGTCTGCGGGACCAATTTCTTGAGCAAAGCTCGAGACGTGGATGACAAAACCAACACAGGAACCGCGAGTGTGCTAGCGACATATCTATTGTATCAGTTGATTATGACTTTGTGTTCGACTGTGTGAGTTTGTCATATTCCGCTTATACGAGTACATGCCATCTGCCGTACATACGTTAATTTCGTAACCATTCTAGTGTTATTGTGGCTCTCTGTGCATTGCGCGTACTTGCATTATGACGGAAATTAAAATATTTTATTATGAGCCACGCTCATTTTAAACCCCCGCGCACGTACAGCTAAAATTTGCGACATTTTGAAGCAGTTATTGCTAGTCGAAGGGATGGGACGTGTAACAAAAGACAGCTTGTCTTTTGTTACACAAGGTTCCATTTTCTTCGCTGGTTTGTACTGTTGCGTTAACTGTGTTTATACGAATGTCGACCGGAGCGCAGCGAAGGTCATCTAATCCAGACAAAATCAAAAAGGTGCTGTCTGTCTGTCCGTTACGGAATGACGTCATACAAGGAAGTAAATGTCGTCATATAAGGAAGTAAAGAATTTATGCCATAGGGAGCCGGAAATGACGTCATATAAGGAAGTAAAAATGATTTCCAGTGAAAGGTCAAATCAAAGGCTCAAAAGAGCACCAGCAGTTGTCAGGTCACCGTAAAATTTGAGATTTGCAACAAACATTTCTTTATTAGCCCTGCTAATTGCCTTTTGAAACGTTTAACACGGGTTTGGCACTGGAGACTGGAGATATTGTTGCCGAAAAATACTTACCTTAAGGCAAACCTCGATGGTGCTTGTTTAGCTTTACTTTGGTGGTATGACGCTTTATGTTTATGTTGAGGTTGATCTCACAGACCGTTTCAGTCAGTAAAACAGCAAGCAGATAACAGTTCACCGATCACATAAGATTTAAATCTGGGCTCGGCGGTAAAGGTACAGTCATGGCAAAAGCGCCTGATGGTTCGTGTTGTTGGGGAGGAAAGTTTCTGCTTTTCGTAATCCAACATCCGCTGCTTCCGCATCCGCTGCTTTCTGCTTTTCCGCAACAAACCGGCAACAATGAAAGCGGGTTTTCACTAAAGATGACCCAGTAAAATGCATGTTTACATTCCTCTGTACCGGGCACGGCAAAAAGCGGTCAAGAGGAAGATAATAATATATGTATTACAGAGTTGGCTACAAAACAGTAAGTTTCAACACATCTTTTTGCTATTGTGTGCCAACAATCAGTGTAGCAGCAATGCAAGCGCAGAATCGGCAAGAGCAAAGAAAAGCGCAGTAAGTAAAAAAATGCTCTTCGCCCCTTCAAGAACAATTTTTGGAAAAATAATTTCTAAAATCAATAACAACTCGGAGCCGGCTACTCTGTACATGTATTTCAGAAAATTTTGAACTTTGATCAGACAAAAGAAAAGAAATTTTCAAAAAGGACTGTAAAGATTTTTTATGATAAATGTTTGCGCATCTTGTTTAAAACAAACAAAAGTAACTTCCGGTGTCAAAAAGTTTTTTTCAGGATAGGGAAAAACGTTCCTGTGGAACGTTTTTCTGCGTTTAGCCAAAACGTTCCGCAGGACTTTAGCGATTTGAGCTAAACACAGCCTCGTGCTTGAATATAAAAGTCTGCTTCGATTGTTATTACTTCCGCAAAATAACGACTTGCAACTATTAACCTTTACACTTCAAAACAATTACTGGAGTTCAGACTTCAGAACATATAGAACTTCAGAACGTGTGCGGGCGGCTACAGTAATAAAAGCATCTGCAACACTTAATTAACCAACCCAGCTGCGCTCCGGTCTGCCAGTGCACGCCAAAATGCATTTTCCTAGTTACAGTGTAACAAAATTGTACCTGATACAGAGGTACTCCAATCTAAAATAGATCTTGTAACTTGACGCTAACTATTAACAGATGTAATTGACGTTAATGACTTTTTCCACTATTTACCGAAAATACGAGCGCACTGTAAAAATAGAAACCAGCACTCGCATTAGACGCTTATAATTAACCTTTGGAGCTTGGAAACCATGGATTTTCAGATTGAGAGTGCGCAATTCCCGATGGGCAACTGTTCTGGTTGCATTTGATATGTTATGAAGGGCTTATGATAATCTGGTCAAATATAATTTTGGTGGCCTTTGCAAGGTATCTGTACGAGTCCCGGCAATTCTTATCTAACAAACTTCCTCCTTAACCGTTTCTAAATGTTTTTAAAGTTGCTAGAACAAAATTCTAAAGATTATGGTAGCCATAAAAATAGCGCTTTATCAGCACTTTTCCCTACTTACATCCAAAAGCTAATATTATTTCGAAAATACAGTAAAAGGAATCTGACAACAACAATCCGGGGACTCGTTACAATTCTGGAGCAGTAATTTTTTGTTTCACGGAATGCTATCGGTACGAAACCAATTAAGGTTATATAACATACAAACAGAGCTAAAATTTGTACGTTTTCCGGAACCTATTTCTGGTGCTTAAAGCACGGTTTAGTAGTTTTCTCACTTCAGCTTCCCATACGGGAGCTATTAAGAAACGCAAGCATCCACGCAAAGCATCCGCGTTCAGCAGCACATCCAGTGGGCTACGCAGCAAACAAAATGAAACGGTTCTGTTTCGGCAGTTGGATTTCCTCACCTGAGCCGGATCAAGACGACCAGGAGCCGCAACTGCAAGAAAACCCTGACGATCAGGCGCCGGGTGCAGATGATCCGCCGCCGTATGAGGACTTTGCTCCTCCTCCCTACGAGGAAGCCGTGGAGATGTAGCTGGGTCTGCTGCGGCCGGATGTTCCGTCGGACTGTCTCGCATTGGTTTCTGGGGTATGTGACTTTATAGTTTTGGAGCGTTTGTAGTTCTTTTCAGTGCAGTGATTGTCTCCCTTTTATAGTGTACTGTTAGTGTACCGCATGCACTGTTTGTATTTATGATGACTGTATCTATGATGATGTGTATTTAAAATGTACGGTATGATGATAGTTTACTCTTGTTGTCTTTTCAAAAGTATCTGACACTATCTGTAGAAAGCTGAAAATGATTATGTGGCTCACTCGTTTTAGTAGCACAGATAAATGCAGTGCTATCTTAGTTATCAATAAATCCTCGTGGGTTGCTTTGTTGTCAGCCAGTTGTTAACAGAAAAATAACGTAGTACCGTACAGTATCCTTGCAATAATAATAATGTAGCAAGATATTAACTTTAACGTTCTGGCACACGTGCGCTATACTCTGTATGAGCGCATTCAGTGCAAGCGCATTCAGTAATCACTTTAATACGACAGGCTTGGACAACCCGTGCGGTTGGCTCGAATGACTGATGTGAAGGCTTTCCAAACACTGTAGTTTAGTGTCGTACAGAGCTCGTCTCTTATTAAGGCCGACAGCGCGTTGAGTCCGCAGTCAGATCCTGCGGATACGGTAATTTCATTTGATTCCAGAGTTTTCTTTGCATTTATTTTGCAAGCCTTAATCTAGTACTCGAATCTGATTGATCTATTACATACGCTATTTGCAGTCCTGTAATTCTCCAAGCAGCTTCAAATTTAAGCAGCTGTGTATGGCACACTATAAATTACGATCATCCTACCAACGGTACGCTCCAAATGAGAATACTATCAACCGTTTCAGGAGCTAGCGCAGTTACCATGTGTGGCGTATTCCAGGAAACCAACAGCGTACACGTTCTGGGCCGCGACGGCCGCGTGGTGGACGTAGCGCCGGACGGGCTCTTCGTGGACATGCTGTGTTCCAATCGCCGACGGGAGTTCTGCACTTTCGCAAACTGCTTCTTGCCGACCTATCTATCCGCAGACCTCCTGGCTACACTGTACGCGGCAGCCGTTCCCCGCATGCCCGTGGTCGTCCTGGTCCCGGAAACGTCGTCCGGTCCGTGGATTTGGGTACTCGGTGAAATGCCCTGTCACAATCGCGGGACGCGGCACGTCAGCTACGAAGCGGCGGTGGTCCACTGGCGGGATCCTCTCACGGGGATCCCTCACGTGGATCTCGTCCCGCTCGACCGTATCCGCTGTCCACTCTTTGATTACCCCGGCGCGTATCTCCCTGGGCGGGATAAAGTGAGGGCAATGGTGCAGAATGTGCTGAAGACGCGTTATTCGGGTCCACCCGCCGATTACACTGACCTCTACCCTCGCACATGTCGCGGGCAGTTTTACCTGCAGACTGTGCTGTTGGAAGGAATTCCCGCGCTGTCGGCCGAGGAAACCTCCGCGTTCATCACGCACTGGAATCGCTGGGAACCGGACAACCTTGCGCTGGGTTTGTCGAATGTCACCATAGTCGATCTCGGCGCTGGCCAGTCGAAGTACATTTGCAAAGCGGAGAATCACTGCGGGAAACACGAGAACCGCCTTCTGGTAAGCACCATTTAAATCCCTAATAATTATGGCATTCTTGTTCACTCTGCTTGTATATTTTGATTTGAGTTTTTGAATGGCGGACCGACTGGCTGATGTCCACTGTTTACAGTCCTCAAACGAGCTTCGGTGTTCGTATAATTTCAGAATGGACTGCGACGATTCCACGATGAGTGGATGGGCATGCCGCGGAACGAAAACACCGCGCTGCCATTCGACCGCGTTCTGCCGCTGGAACTGTGCCAGGAAGTGTTCTCCCAGTTGGACACGCTGACACAGATCAGACTGCGGCTCGTCTGCACGACGTGGAACCTGCTCACGGAGTCGCCGGCGCTGGCGACCTGCATCGTTATGCAGCACTATGTCCGGTGCCCGCGGTATCCCGATCAGCATGCGCACGGCGTATCTTCGGCGGTGCTGTTCAAATGCCTCCGTCCCGACACGCGCCATGTGGTCCTGTGGGATCGAGCGGCGCAGATGAACGCCCAGGACCTGCTGAAGATTGTCGACGTGCTGCCGTACGTGGCGCAGCAGAATCCCGGGAGCCGGCTGACCACACTCTACCTCGTGGGCTGGCGGATGTCCATGCTGGTCAGCCACGACACGGATACGTGTACAGATACTCCCGGGGAACCCTGTGTGCAGCATGACCCGAAACCGCGGCCCTATCGACTGAGGCGGAATGCCTGCCGTCTGGAGGACTTCATCCGGATTTATGGCGGTCTGCCGTGCGAAGCTCTGCACATGATCAACTGTACGTTGCAGTGGAGTGGCCCTTCCATGGACAGTGATAACGGACTGTACGCGGGTCCCATTCTGGAGGTGACATTTCCGAGGGCCGGGCTGCCGCTAAACGGGGATTTCGGTTGTGCGCTGTGGAATGCTTGCGAAGCGTCGATGCTGGCACCGACGGACGCCGAACGGCGAACGCTCGTGCAGTGGCTGACACGGGCGAGTGATATGAAAAATCGGGAGCTGCTGAAAATAGTCGTCTGCAAGGGACGATGGCCACATAAAGCGTTGCTTCGCCAAGTTCGGGCACTTTTTATCAAAAATTGCTATAACTCACCCGTCAACAATTTCAAACCTATTAAATTTTTATTCTAGCACCGTATGTGTCCATCATCTTTTGCACTTAAGTTTTCCAAGCCAGTAGCGCGTTTCGAATTGCAGCGAGTCTGAAACTAGAGCAGACCTGCTTAAAAATGCGGCTCGACCCAAGTACCATGGGAGCCTCCCTTCTGTTTATAATTTGCTTAAAAATTCCACTGACGTTCTTATCCTTAGAAAATAAACTTAGCTTGTTTGTCGTTTAGTGCTCTTGCAAAATGAGCCCAAGGTCGTATGAATTCAATAAAATCCACGTGACCTTTGCAATGAGACTGTAGGCCTAGTTAAAGTGGATGGTGACCCTTTGTAAACGCTTGCCCTGAAACCGCGCAATGTTGCCGATGACAAATTTTTATGAATTCTTATCTGCAAAGTACTGAACACTTATTTAAAAGCCTCCATCCGCACAATAAGTTGGAGACAGTTCGCTCTTGCACACTCAAACGGGAGCCATAGCCTTTTTTGTCTGTCGCTTTGTTCGTTTTTTCTTTCAATTGCCCGGCACTTTCATCTCTCTCCTCGCCTAGCGGATCTCCATCGGAACTTTAAAATCGTTTGATGTAATCATTGTTCCATCATCGGAACGTTTTCGCTTGAGGTTAATTATGCTTCTGCGCTAGGCAACCACAACCTTCGGTAGGCACGTTATACCATACAAGTCTATGGGAGATAACAGTTGTCTCGATGCGGATAATAAAGGGGAGGGGCAGAGGGCGTTTTTGGGGTATTTATAACAACCTTTACCAAAAATTCCCCAAATGAAATTTTTGCGCGGGATTTGTTTAAAACTATTAAGTCGCCCAAAAGGTGTCTGTTACGGGCTAAAAAAAGAATCTTGCATCATCGGGGATCGAGGTGACCGCGTTACTGACTGATTCTAAGATTGTGATTTTTACACTACTGGATGGGCCATAAAAAGTTACACTAGAAAAGTGCAAAACGATAAACGCAACGAGGCATCGAAATACTTCATAATTTATTTTACACCACTGCCCGAACTTGGCGTAGGACCCCTGTAGCTTGAACCTTGAAGAAAACAGTTTGGGAAAAACGTTTCTAACATGGTCGCAATGAGGACCCATCTGTCGCGCATAATAATCGCCAGGGTTCTTGGAGAAAAGCTTGGGGGTGCCCAATTGCATTAAAATAAACCCACTGCTTTCTTCGTTTCGCTGCTTTATGCCGACTGCTACAGCGTTACAGTTTTTCTGCTTGGCAGATGCTGTGCGCCACGCAGTCCCGTGATCCGCGTCCGACGTCGCTTTTCGCGGGAAGCAGTGGTGTGGGGACGGGTTGGAAGGAAGGCAGGTGGAGAAGCTATCGCGCATTACGCTGCACTTCCTCAAGCAACTTCAGAGTACAATCGCCAAGAGTTGACGCCGAGCGCGGTGTGAAGAAGCTTCGTGTTTGACTTGCGTCATGATTTTTTTTCCTTGTTAACTACTAAGAGTCGGCGCTATTGCTGGCGCTCCTTGCATTACAGTTTAAACCGGTTCATATTGCACTTTAATTCATCGTTCAAGTGTTTTTTCTATTATTAATTTTCCAACGGACTGAGCAAAAAACGATGAAGATATTAAAGCGGATGAATGTTGTCTAAGCGGTTCAACAAGTGTGACTACCTGTTCTGAACTTCTGACCTGCTTGTCATGAGCGTGGCATGATTAACACGTCATTTTCGGAAGCTGACCGTTCTGTTTCTGAACCTGATTTTAGCTTTGTTTCTTTTCCCGGTCTGGCGGGACGACGTTCCAATAAATTAGGCCTGCGATCTGGCTGCATAGTGAACTGGTGTTTCGATTCTGGTCGTCGTAATCTTAGCTGCTTCGTGACCTTGCATCCTTTCCCAACCTGCACAGTCGTAAGCACCGTCGAAGCGCTGAATAAGCCATTCGAGCTGAGATGCTTTCGTTTTAAATTTTTTTGGTACAGTTTGAAGAATTTATACTGCTTTTTTTTAGTTTGATTTTATGAGTTAAACGTTACCAAACCTACCCTAGAAACCTAACAAAGGACACACAAATCACAATCTTAAAGCCAGACGTACTACAGAGGGTTATTCAGCCAAGTGTGGTCAGCGCATTAAAAAAATTCCTATAATTCAGCTGTAGCGCAGAGTCAGATTCTAATAATTGTTTTATTATGACAAATTAGTTTTGATGCTTTTTGCAAATTTTTGTGACAATCGAGCTTAAACAGCCCGCAAGATTGGCTACTGACCTAAAGACTCCGACTCTAAACCTTTGACCAGGCAAAATTTGGCTTTCGATGATCTGGCCTTAAAAGGATCGTCTGCTTTTCAAATCTGGATGGTTTTAATTGTGAAAAACGACGACCCGAATATTTTTTATAGCAAAAACGATTCGATATTCTTGCGCGTTCTTGCGGTAGGACGGTTGGAAAAAACGCGAAAACAGGAAGACACTCGCAGGAGCCATGCTCATTGTGCGAATTCTTACTCACGGAGCTATAGCTATCCTTTTCGTTCCTCCACAAACTAAAGTTGTAACGCAGGTCTTTCTTCACAATTTACAATGTTCATTGATCGAAAAGGACGCTCCGCGGATTAAGCCTGGCAGAGAGGAAGAAGTCATCCAGAACCAGAGATGTGCTCCCGGGAGCACTGCTGAGAAAAACAAGGATGTTGCTTCCTGATCGAAAAACTAGTAATTCCTTCTGAAAAGGATTGTTCGAAACCCCTGACAGGTTTTCAATGGATTATGGCGAAAACCCAAATTTTAAATTAATTTTGAGTAAAGGGAATCCATTTCCTATAGCTGAACTGGTCAACTGTTGCCAACATGGGGGGGATAAACTTAATTTTTTCCTGGGCTACAGGATAGCGAAATCTTGGCTCGGTTGAATTCAGAATATGATTAAATGTTGTGGTTATCTGATAAAATTTTTAAAAAAGTAAAATAAGCCTGCAACGGCTAAGCAGAAATTTTCCAAAAAGTGACCACACTCGGCTGAATAACCCTCTGTACGTCCACCAGGCTATGAGCATATCCTTATTGCGAGGCTTGACCGGATATTTCCCAGTGTTTTCATTACAATTTCATTTAATTTACGATGGGTAAATTTTTATTTCACAAAATGCGGTAACATCACAGTGTCAGAACAACAGATCAAAAAAACAGAATTTCATTTTATGCTGCCGCTTCCTCCATTGTCCCGAGCACGGAAGCAGCGTTGCCTCGCTGAATTTCCAGCGACAATCGTTGACGGAGGTACTCATGGGAGCGAGGCTCACCCGTATGTTTTTACGATTATTACTAATCGCTCAAGGCATACACTAATTGTAAATACGCTGTCAAATGCCACACACACAGCCTTTCAGCACTGTCCAAGCAAAAGGAGCGTTTGATGGTCGGAAGCAAGTAGGGTCATAGGGAAACCTGGTGTCGCGTTAAAAATGCGCAAACCATGGTTTCTCGTTAGTAATACGCAACCGGTGTCTGTGTTCTTTTGATTATTCTACTTTAATTATTGATCTTCGAGAAAATATTTGCCAAAAAATATTTGATCCGATCGCTAAAAATATTTTACTGTTCTTAGCTGCGTCTGCTTTAACCAGCGTTATAAAATTGATGAGCCTAACAACATCCAGGAACATTATTATATGCCGAATTAATCGTATATCCTAGATTCCCGACATCGGTTAAAGCTTTAATCTGATCTGTATGCATCTTTTTCATCCTCCAGTCTACTTAATAGCGTGTAACAAAAAAATGTCCCCGTGTAATGTCGCGATGCGTTCTCATGCTGCTTAATTCAGCGCGACGAAGTTGCTGTGCGGTAGTATGGAACAGCATCGACAGCCGTCTGACAAGGATGGGAATCCGAGCCGGAGATGTCAGCGGAAGCTGGGAGAAGAGCAAGAGCCGTTCGATACAAACGGCTGCTTCCACTCAGATTGACGAGTGCCGGCTCTGTCTGCCTCTTATACAACAGCGCCAGGGAAAATCGAGCGTTGATGCGGCATGCTGCTGTCGATCCATCCATTGCGTGCTGTATCGACCGGCGCATCTATACGCTGATGTACAAGCTTGTCCCGTAATTTCTTACGCATCAACACAGCGACAAATAGTCAAATACAAATTCACGGGTTGCGCCAAACTAGGCAGGTTGTACATGAATCTAGCAGGGCTGATGCACGCCAAAATACCGATTTAAATTATAAACAATCGATATAAATTGTCGATCAAAACGAAGCGAAGTCCTCTGTGTTCAAGAAAACGGGACTTTTGTCGGTCACGTCGCTAACGTTTGTCACGCATTAATAATTTAAAATATGGAAGAACGAACCAAAATATTACTCGTAAATAAATAAGGTTGTTCTTTCATAATATTCTTCCATAATAAACTTTTTTTTAAATAGTTAATATCAAAAGACGGATTATTTAATTTTTCCTTAATAAAAATTTTTTTAAATTGTCGATAAAAAAGAAAAAACCTTTTCTTAATTATAAAAAATGTAATTTATAATGCTTTTTTTAGGAAAAGTGCACAATGGTGTACTTTCCTAGAAAAGTATTAACGTTAATGGTAGACGAAGGGCGGCAAACGTTCGCAGCGAAACTTCGCGCTATATATTTGCTGCTTGTACAGTTACGTTAGAAATTACGGGACAAGCTTGTAGATGCTGACTGCTAACTTGTACGCGTTGCCGCTTCCGCCGCCCAGTCGCAGACAACCGGGCGTGGCCTCCTCCACATCGAGCATGTGCAGCCGGTTACATCGTTCACATCACACACACGCACACACACACACACACACGCAGTCATCCCTCGCGAGAAACCCCGCATCGTGTGCGTGATATAACATAAGCAATATTTGGGAACGCCAGATTGGAGGTAACATTATCCCCGCACCTGGCGACGGTGATTGCGGCGACTTGATCTTTCCCTGATCGTGATGCGGACATGGCGGCGGAATAATCCGGGAATCTGGTCACTTATCCCGGGAACAGGCGTCCAGGATGCCGCATCCGCTGATCCAAACGACGCGGGCTGCGGATAATCCGCGGACACCCTACCAGCTCTTCTCCCATGCTGTCTTTATGGACTACTGCCTGCCCAGCGCCCGCAGCCGGACAGGACGGCGGAATGCGTCCTCCCTGACAAATCCCGTAAGTCGAAACATGCAACATCCCGGATTGTCGCCCTGGTCATGAAGGGATCAATAATGCAGATAGATTTACATAAGATTTACACGGGGATTGCGTGGATCTCAAGCTACAGTTATGACCTTTGACATTTATTCTGGCTGACGGCTATTTTAGGGATAAGCGGCCGCGGCATGATAATTATTTTTTAATGCAATTAGGATAATCGCTTTATATCGACGCAGCGCTGTATGTGCTGGCATGTGTATGGCGCAATGTGTAATTGACTTGGGCGGCCTGGCGACAGATTGCCGGCACGGGCCGCATCCATTTGGACGTCCCAAACAATTATCGGCGGTTGTTTTCAAGGCTAACGGCGTCCTGTCAATAAAACCTTTTATACATTACGCCTCCGTTTATTACCGTTATTTTTGCCGGGTGTAAAGAAGAAAACCGGCATTTTTCTGTTCAAAAATTTAAACACGCGAAATAATTTTCTCTAAATATAATTATAAATCAACCGACTTATTTTCTGGAAGGAATTGTAGCGGTTTCAACAGTTTCCTTGGGTTTATTGCCAATAATATAAAATGATTAATTTTGCCTGATATTAAGTTTAAATAAAAAATAACCGATATTTTATAAATTAACCAATACAAATATAAATTAACCGGCAATATTGTACTGGAGAATTTGTTAAATAATTGCTTGTTTTCGCTAAGCTTATTGCCAATAAATTTAAAATGATTAATTTCGCTTTCTGTGAACATTAATAAACCGGCATCATTTTTTAGAAATTTTATGATGATTGCACCTTGTTTTTTTTTAATGTCAATAATATTAAAATGGTTGATTATGCCTGATGTAAATACAAATAAACCGGCAACTTTTAACTGGAGAATCTGTTGAAAAATTGTTTGTTTTTGTCAAGTTTATAGCCAATAAAATTAAATTGATTAATTATACACTGGAGACTACCGCGTTTCCCCGCCCCCTTTAAACCAAATTTCACTAAACAGGAAGAAAGACTATTCACTGTTATTGGAGCTAAAAAATTCCGCGATTAGATTAATTTTCGTTTATATATAAAAATTTCCTGACACTTTTATAATTCATTTTTATTGTCCGGCGAAAGAATAGCTACTGTCCCGGTTTCGCTGGCTAACAGCAGCGCATGGACAATTTGCGCTCCTGGTTAGGACGGCCGCGAAATTCCCCAAAGTGCTATTAATTATCTGCATCCTGCGGAAATGCCCAAGCCATTGCACGCTGTTCACGGGAGCAGCGGTTACCGCATTCTGTGTAGATCCGTACAGATCCAGTCGATCGGAGCTGCGTTGTTTTAAGCTGGCAACATTTTCTGTGGAAGAGTGCGGAGAGTGGGCAGATGCCCGTGCAAACACTCGCGGAGATACGACAGACAGCCTTCTCCGCGGCCACTTGAGACCCGGTGATGGGCACGGCCATCACTCATAGATAGGCGCGCAGTCGGACCGGGACGGACTGCTTCCGCTCGGCCAGTTGGCCGCGCCGCTGCAATCAATTACCGCGGCAGATTGGACCGGTTGATAAAACCATGGGGAGAAAATCTGTTCGTCTAAAAAATAGTGAGGCTTGGTGATAATGCGTACTGCGCAATGTAAGCGTTTCTCTGTTGGAACCCGGTGCCGACGCTTTATAAGCAGGGAAAGTGTTCCTATTTGATAAGTTTTTTTTATTTATTTATTGGTGGAACCGCGGACGGACCGACCGACCGATTCCTAATTTTTCAGCCCAGTATTGTTATTTGTATTTGAAATTATTTAAATGTAGAATAAAAATGGTTGCTTTGTTTTAACGCAGACTGCGCAAAAACAAGCTTCTTTGTTCGAACCCGTTGTTGGCGATTTATGCGCATTAAATGTGTTTTTTTTTCTGCGCGCTGTTTGCTGATTTTATTATTCAATTTTGCAACCGCGGACCGACCGACCGATTTCCATTTTTTTATTCCTTCCTTTGTTTCAAATTCGATCGAAGACAATTTCTGTTTTTTTTTTATAAAAACTATAAAGAAAATTCCAGCGAATTCCAATAACAGTTTAAATTTTCGAATAAAAATCGAAAAAAATTAACTGATACTGTTGCGCACCAACACGGTTGTCTGTTCGACGGTAATATTTTTGCTGAATTACAAAGCAAACTTTTGGAACAGTGACAAGTTACGCTTTTTAATTTTCAGGAAAAAAAAGTTCGCTCTATGGATGATGCGAATAAAAAAATTCATAGTAGCTGGCTTTTTTGGCGAACTAAATAAAAACATTTGTCATTCGGTTTTGCGAAGGCGATGAATGTTAAAAACTACCGTGAATGTTAAAACTCAGAAATAAATTATTTATATCCCCGGTCGTCGTGACGTCACACCATGTGGGAAACATCCGCGCCAAAGGCATAGAGGCATAGACTCTCTCGTTGGCGTTTATCAGCGCAGTGCATTAAAATTCATTAGCCGCTAACCGGCTAAAACAATAACGCATAATCAGGGAAAACGGGGACGCGGGAGCGGCAGCCACCGCCGCAGCAGCAGCATCCTGTCAATGAATCTCGGCTGTGCTGCTACAGAGAGAGATGACACTTGAAGCCGGGGTGGGCGCGCCGGGGAAAAACGGCATGCCGTGGCAGTCAGCATATTTAACATTTATAACGATGATGACGAGAAGAAAACTACAGCAAAATCAGTGGATGCGAGTTGGGTATTGATCCGGCTGCGGACGAGCAAGAGCAGCTGCATGCTGCACAGTTTTCCCTCCGTCTAAATTCAATCATCTCCACAGTCGCGTAGAGAAGACACACACGCACGTCTATTTACTCGCTTCTCCAATAATCAACGTCCACTACAACAAACACGCAGTGTGCAAACACGGCGCTTTTTTTCCGTGGTGGTTCGGTGCGCCCGGCGATATCCCGTTATTTTGCGCGTGGATATACGCGGATAACCAAATAGTTATTCAACGCCCTTTTTTCGAGTTGAATGAAAAGATGTGTATGCATAACTCGGGAGTGATACAATGGGTTTAAGAGTTTTTGAAGCAGTTACGTAACCTTAAGAAAAAAATATAAAAAACCTAAAAAACGAAAAACAATTCAGTTTGGCTTTGTGTCTCTTCGATTAGCTGTATAAAAATCTAATAAGCGAAAAACTGCAAATTAAAAAAACAACCGAAAAAGTGTTTTTAGTTTTTTTCGAATATACAGTATATCTCGTATTTGTACAAATTAAAGGAAATTTATAACTTTTTTTTTAAAAATGGCAAATAAATTCGAATGCTCGCTTAGGTTTCTTATTAAGGAGTCCGTAACTCTTTAAAATTTAGAAAAACGCCTAAGCATTTTAGAAAAAATGAAAAACGTTGCCTAACGAATTTTAAGCTTAGAAAATTAACTTCTTAAAAATAGTAGGAAATCTTAAAAAACCATTTTTGCGGTTTACAAATAATAAAAAATTCTCGGATCTGTGAGAATGCGGTAAAAAAACGTATAGAAACCATAGGAACCTTAAGAAAACTGATACAAATTCATTTTTAAAAAAATCAAAGGATTCGCAGCTCTTGGAGAATAATGTAGAAAAACGTCTAAGAAACCCAGGAAACCTAAGAAATCGTTTTTCTATGTTTGCCGGCTCAGCCCAGCTTAACGCGGCGCCCTTACATAAAAATGGCTAATCGGCTTTAGCCGGGGAGAAAATCGGCATAAAGCCCTGCTCATATGCCGGCACGTCCGTCATATTACAGCGCGCCGGGGATAAACTTGTATAAGGGGCTTTTTAACACATGCCACTTACTGTCCGCACACCGTGATGCTGGGCATGCCAAAATGCCTCAGCTGCTTATTTATAGCTACCGTATACCGTATACCGTGTAGCAGCGGATGCCAGCGCGACTATTACCCAATCACTCTTATTTGATCGTCTGCGAAATATCCCGTCCCAAGACACTTTTTGATACTTAAAGCGCGCGCCATGAAGAGACGGGTACATAGGACGCCAGAACGGCCAGATGCCGGTGAGGGAGAGAATGCCGGGCGGAAAACGATACTGCCTCTCTGACTGGCAAATCACCGCGCGGACGTTGGCAGGCAGTGTGCGGTGCGGGTTGTGGTGATGTGTGCCAGAAATATAGATGATGTTTTCTGGCGTAAACACGGGGGTATATTGAATTAATGCCCTGGGAAACTGTGGAGTGCGGTAACCCGGCGTGTCTTGCGCGCTAGCATGATTGAGGGAATGCGACAGAAATTTACCGAGTTCTAGAAGGCTCGCGCAATAGTTAGGACTACTTTGAAATATATAAAAGATTTTTGAAATATTTTTATAAAAAATACGATTATGTATATAAAAAAATTTGTGCTGCCAAATTTCCAAGCCGTCGAAAAGGTCAAATTTACTTAAAATTTGCTAATTTATTTCTAATTTAAACTTACAAAAAAACCAGTTGAGACTATGAAAGTATTTTCCTAAAGTCTTTCAGCAACTTTAAAAACAAAATTAAAAATTTATCTAGTTTTGCAATAGGGCAAAAAATGGAATAAAATCAGCCAGTCGCTTCACGGTTCGAAACTTCAAAAATAAAATCAACAAATATATTGAAAACCTGAAGGAGAAAAACAAGTAAAAATTCGCCATGCTTTGAAAAAAATTCAGAATTTTTCGCAATAATAATTTGTTACAAGTTTTAGAATATGATATATTTTCGAAAAAACCGAAAAAATAATTTTTTGAGGTGTAGAAATTTTTCGGCTGTTTATATATTTCTCAACGCTCTCTGGAATTTCCGTGAAAATATTTTCGCAAAACTTGAAAACATCCTTTTGGGTGATTTTCAGTATTTATCCAGCCACTCGACAGCGGCATTTTCTGCTGTATATCCAACCTAGATTTCCCATAGCTCCACTTCGAAAAATACCGGTATTCCATGCGCTTCTTAAAACACGATGAATCACGCCACACCGTTTGTCAACGGAAGCGTCAATTGGCCGGCATCCTGTGCCGCCAACACGCGGCTAATTTCCGGCCGTACAAGAGGTACACACCGCGCTCATGAAAAGGCTGATTGTCGCCTGTTCCATGAAGCGTGTACCCCGATAATTACCTGCCTGATTACGCGATCAAGAGGTGCCACATCAACCCTTCATTAACCGCGCCATTTCCCCTGTAATCAGTGCGCGCTGTATTTAGACTCATACAGTACACATGTTTACCCGGCTGTCAGGCGCTGATTTTTGATGAATGCCGGTGACACACTTTGCCGTTGATATGATTCAGTCCAGCCAAGCGAAAACATTCTCCAATCAGCACTTGTGTAATTATTCCAATATTTATCAAAGCGCTTGGCTGTATTCTACAGCGGATTGGTGCGAGTAAAAATAGTCGCCGGGATAATATTGATGTTTTGCGCTCGTGTATTAATCAAAGGTTTCGCTCGGCACACGCTGATTGCTTTGGGAAAATATGTACAAAAGAATTCCGGGGATTAAATACGTGTGTCGTCCTGATTTTCACGCTTAATCACCCGGCGTATATTCCACTGATTGCAGCCTGCTCTAATTTCTAAAATACAACAACATCGCAATTTTTATACTTAATATTAAATATTAAGTATAAAAATTGCGATGTTGTTGTATTTTAGAAATTATCAACGATCAACCATGCTTTTATGCTAAATTTTAGCATAAAAAGCATGGTTGATCGCTGATAACAACAAATAAATTAATTCATCGAATTTTAATTTTCCAGGATCGAATACAAGGAAATCTTTCTAAACAGCGCTTTTATTTAATATGAAAAAAGAGTAGGTTAAAATTATTTTAATTTTAGATTTTTATAAAATCTCTAAAGTTTATTCTACGAGTATGAAATAAAATATTATGAAACAAATCCCAAAGTCAAGGTAAACAAATCTTCACATTTTTATAAAATTACTTGCAATCCGTGAAATAAAATTATTTCGGTTCTTTAATAATTATTCTATAGAAATAATTGTAATTTAGCTTATATGAAGTTGAAGAAATGGAATTTTTCTTCGATTAGATTATTGCGTGCTCGATCAATTACCGTTCTATTTATTTTCATTGCGCATGACCTTTAGGCGTAACGCATGCGAAGGAAACAGGCGTCTGTTTATCCGTAAAGAAACCTCATTCATCGTGCGCCTTTTCTCCGCACGACAAGTTTACATTGGGGCGGCGTATGTCAACGGTTGAGGCGGAGAAAAGACACAATAAAACCCATAGCAAAAACGCGCTACAATCAATCACGCGATACAACTCTCTTCTCTCTCTTTGCAGTCGCCAGCGAGCGGAGCGGAAACAGCACGCCTGCCAACATGTCCCCTCATCGATCTCCTCACCGCCGCCTCCCTCTCCTCCCCCGGACCGTCCTCCGGCTGGCTGTTACTCTTCGTGTACAGCGCCTGCCTGTGCCTCGGCACGCGGCTGGTTCTAGCGTTTGACTGCGATTTTATCCGCGTCAGCAGTGAAGACGGGATGAAGAACGGGTCCTTCACGGCGCCGCTGATCAACGGGCATCCCATCCCGCCGCAGGGCATCCAGTGCATCTACACGTTTATCGCGCTCCCGCATGAACGCGTCAAACTGACGTTCCGGGATTTCCATCTGGCCGGGCGGCCGCCGGAGTGCTTCCACGAGTACGTTGATTTATACACAGAACTACGCAATGCATCGGAAGACCTGGTTCAAACCGATAAATTCGGGGGAAGGTTCTGCGGACGCATCCCACCGCGGACGCGCGTTTCGTTGCACAACACGATTGTGGTAGTTTTTTCCTCGGACAGGAATTTATCGCAGCACGTGTTTACGGGGACCTACGAATTTATCAACGGGTCCATGTACGAGCTGGGTACGCGCAGTCAGCCGGGTTGTGATTTTGTGATTAAAAGCTGGGTTAACCGCCTCGGGGAGGTGTTTACGCCGACGTATCCCGGGGTGTATCCGCAGCGGATTATGTGCACGTACCAGTTAATGGGGCAGCGTGGACAGCGGGTGCGCATCGAGTTTATGGATTTTGATGTGTTTTTCGGCGGGTCGCATTGTCCGTATGACCGGCTGACTATATACGATGGGCCTACGGAACAGGACCCGATTATCGATGCGTACTGCGGGCCGCGGCGGAACCTGGTGGTGTTTTCTTCGCAGGTAATTTTTCAGCAGAGTAGGTATATTACCGTAATACACCAAATCTGATCATCAAATCTTATTCACAAAAAGTATCTCAAGAAAACAAGTATGTATTGGAATATTGCTGATACATTCGTTAAGATAGTGGCCATGGTAAGTCGTTTGGTACCAAAAAAATCTTCAAAAATCTTCAAAAATCAAAAAATCTTCAAAAATCTTGCAAAATGACCGTGGTAAGCCGTTTGATACAACAACAAAACAAATTTTCCAATACACTGCGAAGTGAACTGGTGAGCCGGTTGCATGGTGCAAGCATAAACTTTTGAATTATTTTATTAAGTTTTTAGCAAGCCGAATAACGCAACTTGCTAAGTTTATATTATTGCAAATGAAGCGCATGGCACGGTGAGAACAGCGTCCATAGATTTTTATGCATATTTCTTTTAGCTATTTAACGAAGCTCATGCTGCTACTTTTATGGGCACTGCCGAGACACCGTGAATTAATTAAAGATAACAAGCTTTTTTATTGAAGGAGAACCTCTTTATCTCCTTCATCACCAATCGCTCCGGCGGGGAGAACCGCGGCTTCCACGCGCTCTTCGAATTCTCGGAGCTCTTCGTCAATCTGGAGTTCATCAGCGGTGAGCATCTCCGCGGGACGGAGTGCGATCAGCGCATCCTCAGCCACGGCCGCAACACCGGCATCATCAAGTCGCCCAACTCCCCCTTCCCCTACCTGCCCAACGTGGACTGCCGCTACGTCATCGAGGGCCTGAACAACGCCGACGACCTGGAGCGCGTCATTCTCAACGTGGAGATGTTCCACATGCCGCAGCCGCTGGGCGCCGCGAAGGGCGACTGCTCGGCCGGCGGCCTCATGCTGTGGCTGGAGGGGCGGGAGGGCGGGGAGACGCGGACGCTGTGCGGGACGCATGCGCCCAAGGAGGCCATCGTCTCCAAGGATTCCAAATTAGTGCTCAAGTTTTATTCTGGCTCAACGCAGGTACTAAGCAGCAACACTAACAACAAATAATTTAGGACAATATTTCCAATTCCGCCAATTAATACATGCTCCGATTTTTCTCAATTTCGATCACATGCGTGTAGGTTTTATATGAATAGGTCACCCATATAGCGTAATTTCTAAATAGAACGAAATTTTTCGAATGGATCGCTTTTTTTGTAAACACTTTTGCTCAGGAAATTCGACGTACTGCCTACACAGTTCATAAATTAATACGTTTTCATCAAAAAATAAATTCAAACTAGATGCAGAGGCGTCTGCACTCAATGGTTCTTTCAATAGCGTGAGAACCGTTGGTCGCACTGGTGGCTAAAATAACCGGTTTTATCTGGGGACCTAAGCGTGCGTCAACTTTGACAGTAATGTCGGAAATGATATCTGGTCGTCCGTGATCCGCATTTTGCATTATCAGCCTGATTTTCTTCCTGTTTTTCTACAGGGTCTGGGTTTCACGATCCGCTATCAGTTCGAGACATTCTTCGCCGTGCCCGGCACGCCACACCCCATCAGCACCACCTGTGAATTCCGCTACCGTAGCGCCGCCAAGAAAGAGGGCGAATTCCGCTCACCCCGGCATCCCAGCAATTATCCGTCCAACACCAACTGCACTTATATCTTCGAAGGTACGTAGCTGTATGTCCGGCGAGGAACCACCGCAGGCGATTTTTCCTCTCCACCCGCTGTTAAACAATTTTCTTGAGGCTACATAGTGCCATATTCGTGTACATGCACGGGAACTTTCGTATTAGCGCTCTACCAAGCAGTTTTCTGCATCGATCAACGATATTCTGTAGGCAAATAATTTGTATACGCGTGAAAACCGTTTGTACAGACAACGAAGTGTGGTGAAGCTATCCGTGAAATAAAATTTCAAAATTGAAATGCAAGCAAGTCCACCACAAGTTTATTTATGGACCGATGTTATCAAATCTGCACGAACACGCATATGAATATAAAGATCGTCCGTAAACAGAGCCAAGGTTCAAGAATCTGTATAAAATTTTAAAACGGTTCTCGAAGATTTTAAACGTAATTAAGGGCGACGCAAAATAATCGGGTATTAGGACAATGTTCGTAATTCCGAAAGCCACATTAATATTCTATAAAGAGCAAACAAATAACTTTCTGTTAACAAATTGTTACTATCTCGGTCTGTACAAAGCGATTTTTTCTACGATTTATTTACAGGTGAAGAGAACGAACAGGCTCACATTGAGTTCGACCACTTCAAGCTGTCGGACGGGAACGGGACGTACGCCTTAACCTGTGATAGGCAGGACTATGTGGATCTCTATGAGCTCCTGCCGGCGGAGATGGACAGCCGCGGCTACCGCGAGATCGGGCGCTACTGCGGCGCGGCAGGCCCGGCGCCGGTCAAGAGCCGGTACGGCGTCCGTAGTCTTAAGATGCACTTTGTCACCAACGCCGCCGGCGTGACTAACGGCTTCCGTGGCCGCTATTGGTTCGCGCGCCAGATACCGACGTTCCATCCGGATCGCCTGTGCGGCAACATCACCAACGGGACGCACGGGACCATCGAATCGCCCAATTACGACGGAAAAGGCAATAAATATCCGGTACGCTAAAAGCTAGTCACGTGCACTTGTCATCTAGTCAAGAATAATTCGCAGCAAAACGTGAAAATCTAAGAAACAAAGGAGCCGAAGCACTTTTTAAGAGATTTAAAAGTGCGTTGAGGCTTTGCCTTCTTAATGAGGAACTAACTTGCGCTTGCAACCTAAGAAACCTAAGAAATCTAAGAAATCTAAGAAATCTAAGAAATCTAAGAAACCTAAGAAACCTAAGAACCTAAGAAATCCTGTATAGGTTAGAAGATTGTTTATGCACTCGATTCCGTAAAAAAACCGTTTAATGGTGCGAACTCACCAGTCACTGCTGGCGATTTGAGCACACTCAGTGGGTTCTAGAAACACAGTATTCGGTAATTTTATACAAGAGGTTCTGAACCGCGAACCGACTTCCTACTTTTCTTTTTCCGATATTATCTGGTTTATTTTTGTAGACGAACTCGGATTGCGAGTGGCACATCCACGTGCGTCCCGGCCACAGCGTCCTGATCAACATCACGGACTTCAGTCTGGAGGGCGACCAGAAGTCGGACAAGCCCAGCGGCTGCATGGGCGCGGCCCTGAAGATCTACACGGATCTGGACAAGTACCCGGTGGAGGTGTGCGGCGAGGCGCTGGCCGACGTCAGCTACCACTCGCACGGCAGCCAGATGAAGCTGCTCTTCACCAGCGCCAAGCAGGCCACCGGCAGCCGCGGCTTTGCGCTGACCTGGAACGAGTTCCACTACCCCCGCACCGGCATCGGCTCCGGCTGCGAGGAGGCCGAGTTCTACTGTCCGAAGCACAGCTACTGCATCAGCAGTCAGCGCGTCTGCGACCAAGTCTACCACTGCGGCCTGGGCGACGCCGCCGACGAGAGCGCCGAGCTGTGCGGCACGGCCAGCGAAGCCTGGATGGGCCTGACACAACCCACGCTGGGGGCCGTCGTGGGGGCGGTTGTGGGGGGCGTGGTGGTGGCCGTGGTGGTGGCGGTGTGCCTGCTGCGGCGCAACGCGGTGCGACGGCGCAAACGCCAGATGGAGCAGCGCCAGGGAGCCGACTGGAGCTCGTAGAATGGATCCCGGATGGCCTCTCCGCCTTTCTCATGACCATTTGCAATCAAATTTAACGCGCTGTGTTCATTTGGTTTTCTGGTGCAATACGTAGAGACAGAGAGCTGTAATTTATTATCGGTTTTTCACTGGTACGCCTTACCAATAAAACTGGAATAGTCGCCTGTGTTGTTCACGGTATTTGTCCATAGAGCGACTGCGGTGTCGAACGCTCATCAAAAACCAATCAAATGAAAAGTGTCCAGGCCAGTGTACTACTGGCTATGTTGCAGTGGCCGCGACACCAACTTCTCTATTCCGCAGTGGCTGCCAGCTGCATGGTACTTGAAGGATTTAAGTCCCATTTTCCTTAACTTCAGCCAAATGACCCGGCACATGGTACCTGATTTGTTTACCAACTTTAAAGCGTTCACCTACGCCCACTCTAAACCTTTTTTTGCGTCTGTTTATTGCATTCTGCAGCTAAACAATTTGTTTACTCTGGTGAAAAAGCGGTTTGCGAGAAAAACCGGTACTTGGCTCCCTTGGAGAGTCACGCGTCAGGTAAAATTCCGAAACGTTTATGCGTACACTAAGTAATTGTTGCACGGTTGCACCTAAAGCCTCATTACAGACGGAATTCATTTAAATTTTTCAGAAATTAATCCCCGTAATGGCATAGAGATCGTTTAGACACGAAACCAGTTTTCCATCCTGCTTTCGAATTTTAAAATGGACTTCTGCAATTTTAAAACACATTTAAAATTGCCAAAAAGAGTGCCACAATTCCGGTTCGATGGCAAAACACTCTTTGTGCTCACTAACATTGGGCTTATTTATGAGTGTCATTCGCCTTCTCCTTCGTCTCCGCAGCTATGTGATTGCATAGATTAACCCGTTTTAGGGTAAGAAGGCGGTTCCTCTAGAGTTCCAATGGTTCCACAAGTTCCACTGGTTCCACAATCTACATCAGTTCCATACGTTCCACTGGTTCCATAAGTTCCACCAGTTCCATCCAATCCAACCAAATATCTACGCTAGTATCCGATGAAACAGCAACAGAAGTTAATGTTACGTCTCCTTATGATACCAATGGAACGTATGGAACTCTGTTGGAACCCATTAGAACTGTCGGAACGACTGTACATTTCTCATTGCGCCCTTTACGTGATGCATGGAATCTATGGAACTCTGTTGGAACCCATTGGAACGTATTAACAATGTTTCCTTTGGTTCCAACGAGTTTCAGTGGAGTTCCATAAGTTCCATTGGAATCAGATAAAGGCGCATTGAGACACTTTACAGCAGCGCCAACAGTTCCAAAGGAGTTCCATAGGTTCCATTGGTATCACATATCTGTAAAACCGCAATGAGACGATGCACACACAGACGATGACCACGACGAGACAATGTTCCAAAGGCTCCAGTGGGTTACAGTAGAGTTCCATGGGTTCCATTGGTACCACACAAGGGCGTAATAAGACATGTACAGATAGTAGTTCCAACAGTTCCAACGGGTTCCAGTAGAGTTCCATAGGTTCCACTGGTACCACACAAGGGCGCAATAAGACATGTACATACAGATAGTAGTTCCAACAGTTCCAACGGGTTCCAGTAGAGTTCCATAGGTTCCACTGGTACCACACAAGGGCGCAATAAGACATGTACATACAGATAGTAGTTCCAACAGTTCCAACGGGTTCCAGTAGAGTTCCATAGGTTCCATTGGTACACACAATGGGCGCAATAAGACATGTACAGATAGTAGTTCCAACAGTTCCAACGGGTTCCAGTAGAGTTCCATAGGTTCCATTGGTACCACACAAGGGCGTAATAAGACATGTACAGATAGTAGTTCCAACAGTTCCAACGGGTTCCAGTAGAGTTCCATAGGTTCCATTGGTACCACACAAGGGCGTAATAAGACATGTACAGATAGTAGTTCCAACAGTTCCAACGGGTTCCAGTAGAGTTGCATAGGTTCCATTGGTACACACAATGGGCGCAATAAGACATGTACAGATAGTAGTTCCAACAGTTCCAACGGGTTCCAGTAGAGTTCCATAGGTTCCATTGGTTCACACAATGGGCGCAATAAGACATGTACAGATAGTAGTTCCAACAGTTCCAACGGGTTCCAGTAGAGTTCCATAGGTTCCATTGGTACCACACAAGGGCGTAATAAGACATGTACAGATAGTAGTTCCAACAGTTCCAACGGGTTCCAGTAGAGTTGCATAGGTTCCATTGGTACACACAATGGGCGCAATAAGACATGTACAGATAGTAGTTCCAACAGTTCCAACGGGTTCCAGTAGAGTTCCATAGGTTCCATTGGTACCACACAAGGGCGTAATAAGACATGTACAGATAGTAGTTCCAACAGTTCCAACGGGTTCCAGTAGAGTTCCATAGGTTCCATTGGTACACACAATGGGCGCAATAAGACATGTACAGATAGTAGTTCCAACAGTTCCAACGGGTTCCAGTAGAGTTCCATAGGTTCCATTGGTTCACACAATGGGCGCAATAAGACATGTACAGATAGTAGTTCCAACAGTTCCAACGGGTTCCAGTAGAGTTCCATAGGTTCCATTGGTACCACACAAGGGCGTAATAAGACATGTACAGATAGTAGTTCCAACAGTTCCAACGGGTTCCAGTAGAGTTCCATAGGTTCCATTGGTACACACAATGGGCGCAATAAGACATGTACAGGTAGTAGTTCCAACAGTTCCAACGGGTTCCAGTAGAGTTCCATAGGTTCCATTGGTACCACACAAGGGCGTAATAAGACATGTACAGATAGTAGTTCCAACAGTTCCAACGGGTTCCAGTAGAGTTGCATAGGTTCCATTGGTACACACAATGGGCGCAATAAGACATGTACAGATAGTAGTTCCAACAGTTCCAACGGGTTCCAGTAGAGTTCCATAGGTTCCATTGGTACCACACAAGGGCGTAATAAGACATGTACAGATAGTAGTTCCAACAGTTCCAACGGGTTCCAGTAGAGTTCCATAGGTTCCATTGGTACACACAATGGGCGCAATAAGACATGTACAGATAGTAGTTCCAACAGTTCCAACGGGTTCCAGTAGAGTTCCATAGGTTCCATTGGTTCACACAATGGGCGCAATAAGACATGTACAGATAGTAGTTCCAACAGTTCCAACGGGTTCCAGTAGAGTTCCATAGGTTCCATTGGTACCACACAAGGGCGTAATAAGACATGTACAGATAGTAGTTCCAACAGTTCCAACGGGTTCCAGTAGAGTTCCATAGGTTCCATTGGTTCACACAATGGGCGCAATAAGACATGTACAGATAGTAGTTCCAACAGTTCCAACGGGTTCCAGTAGAGTTCCATAGGTTCCATTGGTACCACACAAGGGCGTAATAAGACATGTACAGATAGTAGTTCCAACAGTTCCAACGGGTTCCAGTAGAGTTGCATAGGTTCCATTGGTACACACAATGGGCGCAATAAGACATGTACAGATAGTAGTTCCAACAGTTCCAACGGGTTCCAGTAGAGTTCCATAGGTTTCATTGGTTCACACAATGGGCGCAATAAGACATGTACAGATAGTAGTTCCAACAGTTCCAACGGGTTCCAGTAGAGTTCCATAGGTTCCATTGGTACCACACAAGGGCGTAATAAGACATGTACAGATAGTAGTTCCAACAGTTCCAACGGGTTCCAGTAGAGTTCCATAGGTTCCATTGGTACCACACAAGGGCGTAATAAGACATGTACAGATAGTAGTTCCAACAGTTCCAACGGGTTCCAGTAGAGTTCCATAGGTTCCATTGGTACACACAATGGGCGCAATAAGACATGTACAGATAGTAGTTCCAACAGTTCCAACGGGTTCCAGTAGAGTTCCATAGGTTCCATTGGTTCACACAATGGGCGCAATAAGACATGTACAGATAGTAGTTCCAACAGTTCCAACGGGTTCCAGTAGAGTTCCATAGGTTCCATTGGTACCACACAAGGGCGTAATAAGACATGTACAGATAGTAGTTCCAACAGTTCCAACGGGTTCCAGTAGAGTTCCATAGGTTCCATTGGTTCACACAATGGGCGCAATAAGACATGTACAGATAGTAGTTCCAACAGTTCCAACGGGTTCCAGTAGAGTTCCATAGGTTCCATTGGTACACACAATGGGCGCAATAAGACATGTACAGATAGTAGTTCCAACAGTTCCAACGGGTTCCAGTAGAGTTCCATAGGTTCCATTGGTTCACACAATGGGCGCAATAAGACATGTACAGATAGTAGTTCCAACAGTTCCAACGGGTTCCAGTAGAGTTCCATAGGTTCCATTGGTACCACACAAGGGCGTAATAAGACATGTACAGATAGTAGTTCCAACAGTTCCAACGGGTTCCAGTAGAGTTCCATAGGTTCCATTGGTACACACAATGGGCGCAATAAGACATGTACAGATAGTAGTTCCAACAGTTCCAACGGGTTCCAGTAGAGTTCCATAGGTTCCATTGGTTCACACAATGGGCGCAATAAGACATGTACAGATAGTAGTTCCAACAGTTCCAACGGGTTCCAGTAGAGTTCAATAGGTTCCACTGGTACCACACAAGGGCGCAATAAGACATGTACATACAGATAGTAGTTCCAACAGTTCCAACGGGTTCCAGTAGAGTTCCATAGGTTCCATTGGTTCACACAATGGGCGCAATAAGACATGTACAGATAGTAGTTCCAACAGTTCCAACGGGTTCCAGTAGAGTTCCATAGGTTCCATTGGTACCACACAAGGGCGTAATAAGACATGTACAGATAGTAGTTCCAACAGTTCCAACGGGTTCCAGTAGAGTTGCATAGGTTCCATTGGTACACACAATGGGCGCAATAAGACATGTACAGATAGTAGTTCCAACAGTTCCAACGGGTTCCAGTAGAGTTCCATAGGTTTCATTGGTTCACACAATGGGCGCAATAAGACATGTACAGATAGTAGTTCCAACAGTTCCAACGGGTTCCAGTAGAGTTCCATAGGTTCCATTGGTACCACACAAGGGCGTAATAAGACATGTACAGATAGTAGTTCCAACAGTTCCAACGGGTTCCAGTAGAGTTCCATAGGTTCCATTGGTACACACAATGGGCGCAATAAGACATGTACAGATAGTAGTTCCAACAGTTCCAACGG